TTTGAGTTGAATTACTGAAATAAATGAACTTTTCCACGACATTCTAATTTATTGAGATGCACCTGTACATGGTTTATCAAATATATCAAGTGCATAACTACCTGATTTGACATGTGATTTGTGCCCCTAATGCTTTAAAAGTACAACAGGACGTCCCATTGAGCCCTCTTCATGGAAAGAGCCAGTACGTTTGATTTCCACATTTTAGCATAATTAAATCCAATCCTCAGATTTTAGCCCCACATCAGTGCAGGAAACAGGAGAAGATTTGAGATTTGATCTGGGCGGCCCATAGGCATCGCTTTGTGCGCTGTGATCTCTGACACATGTTCTCGTGTGAAGCTGCAGCTCGCATTCTTTCTAGATTCATTAATGTTCACTGTTGTCTGTCTGTGATGTGGTTTCATATCTCATATGTCAGATGTAGAGGACGCATTTCTACAGTTTTTTTTTTTGCATTTTATCCCCTCAAGCTGTGATATTAGTATAATTGAGATATTATTTTATAGAGAGAGAGAGAGAGAGAGAGAGAGGGAGAGAATTAGTTTATTTTCTATTTTCATTTATTTTAGTTAGTTTTAGTAATTTTGTCGAGTTTTTCTCATTTTTATTAGTTAATTTTTTTATTGTCTCTATATAGTATTTATTAATTTTTATTTTAATTACAGTTATTTTAGTACTTCAAGTTAATGTTATATGTCGGCGCACTGCCCACGAAGCTATCAGTGCCGATGAGAGAATCGATTATTTATTTATTATAAGATATTTTTTATTTAATTTACAATTTATTTATTTATTTTAATGTATTGATTTTTTTATTTCAGGCTAGAACATTGATTGGCAAAGTCTGTATGAATACAAGCAAATACTGTGTGTCAATATTAAGACAGAGTTCCATTATTAATGTAAACTATTCCTTGAACACAGTAGCTAGCCATCATGTCATGGTTGGATATGTAAGACAGTGCTATTGTTAACATGCTGTCAGTCACTGCAATTACAGCCCAGACCTGTGATAGACCCCAGTGTCTCATTTATATCATTACGACAGTCAATATCTGTACAAGTAATGACTTGAGCATTATTGCAGATCATTTGTTCGCCTCCTGATAGTTTTAATAGTTATTGGTTATGATAACATGCCCTATGAAAACAAGCATCCGTTTGCCTCTATAATATTACACAACACAATCTGATTAGATGAGTTGCTCCAAATACTTTATGGATAATAACTGGCCTGGCTCAGTAGAGTCGCTTAACTCACAATGATAGCATGGGGTAGATTAGTCATCATCTAATACCAAGTAAGTGAACAAACAGTAATAATTTCTGTGTAAACATTTGGGGATAGTGGGTTGCATTTAAATTTGTAAAAAAATATATATATAATATAATATAATATAATATAATATAATATAATATAATATAATATAATATAATATAATATAATATAATATAATATAATATAATATAATATAATATAATATAATATAATATAATATAATATAATATAATATAATATAATATAATATAATATAATATAATATAATATAATATAATATAATAGAATATAATATAATATAATATAATAGTTTGAAAAATATTAATA